AGGCGCTACTTCATCGAAGCTGGTTTGCTCTCTGCTGGATGCGCTTTTATATTTTCTGGTGCTTACATCACCCCGCTTGTGACGTCTCGCTGCTCCATTGGACTGATTTGACACGTGCTTCAGAACGCGGTCACGCAAGGGCGTTCCCAAAGCGAATCTCGACGCAGTGTCTCGTTCCCTCGGGGAACCATGGTTACATACGTAACCTAGAGGTGGTACTTGCACACTTCGAAGTTGTCCGAAATTGAGTCTGTTTTTTTTTTCTTTTTTTTTCTTTCGTATTCGTCATCCTTTCCTATTAAAATGCTTGCTACGGATGCAAAAATGCAAAAAAAATTAATCTGATCTGAATTTTTTTCTGACGGACGACAGTTTCGGAGGCAGTGTGTAAACATGATTGACACAACGTGAACTCGTATTTATTTGTGAAACGTGTGAACATTTTGGACAAAAATTTCAGACTCTGTGTGCAGTGGCCTTAAGAGTTACGACACTCCTAATCACCCTTCCTTTATAAAACACGCCAGCCTTTGAAACAATATCAAGCTGCACATAACATCTCATAAGACCTTTCAGAGGTCTTTGTCTCACCCCTGTGTTGAGGAAGTTTTTACAAGAAATAAAAAAAGCAGTTGAACTCTGACCTCTTGGTGTCTTAGCCACTTTATCAGAGCGGGCACATCCAGACTCAGTAGGTGAGGTTCTCTCCCTCTTGCTATCAGTCTGGGTCTCTGTTGTGTTGTGTTTAACCTGCTATAGATAGGGCCACACTGAGGAGATTACAAATGAGACACTGTCTGACCAGCGCAGAGAAACATGGCCCGTTAGCGCCCACCGCCGACGGACCAATGTTTCAAAATATGCTAAATTATCAATATCTTTATAAATTAGTGAGCGAGGCTGAGTATCCATAATGGACCTCGGCGGTTTGATAAGTGGTTTCTTTGGGATGCTGTGCGCTGCAAGTCTGTCAACCTTGAGAAGCATGCGTACGTATTCTTTTGAGTTTATCGAAACACCCTCAGGCTTTTAAACCCAAGCAGTAACTAGTACTAGCAGATCGGCTGCTAGTACATGGCCTTTAGTTTGGTTGAGGAAAGCAATGCATCCCAGGAAAAATTCTCCTTGGGTTGACTGTGCATCAGTACTTTAGACATACGATATCCTCAGCGTTCGAAGGGTAATCCATTTAAAGCGCTGGCTGTTTTAATAAACAGGTCATAAGAACAATGGGATTGGGTAATGGGAGTGAATCGCTGTTGATAATCCCCAGACACTCCGTCACTCCTCCTTCGGCTTTTTAATTTTGTTGCATGGAGGAAAAAAATAGTGAAACCCCCTTGAGATGCGGGGCCTGTATATTTATTCATTATTGATCCCCCTTTTTCGCCACCCGTTCAACTAAAATGTGTTAACTTTACTATTATTTGCAAAGGGATCAAGAGTTCCCCACTCATCCAATGAAAGACGCCGGTTCGATAGGCCACGCATTGCTGCATTACTTAAAGACGTGATATATTATTCAAAACTCGCCAAGTTACACCAGAAGCATCAATGTGTAACGGAAGCATTATTTATATATATTGTCATGTGCGCTGTCAATGTGATGCTCCTCATCAATTATACAGCGCAGCGACTCCTTTGATTAGACGTGGGATCGGCTTTGTTTTTCATTTTTGATATTGAGCTCGTGAACATATGATAATGGAGTGTGACACGGGAGATTTTCCTCTGATGTTTGTCATTTGCCAAAGTTTGAGAAGAACGCTTCGTCGCAGCATCATTAGTGCCGTCGCTCATCTGGAACATCAAAAGGGGACAAAAGAGCCCTGTGATAATATGTGATCCTCCCACAATGACAAAAACACTGGTGATAATACAAAACTTAGTTAGTGTCAAATCTCTGATTAGATGCTCATTATGATCAGACAATGCAGTAACTCCAAATCCAAGTATGATTATTGTATAAATCTGACATTAAAATGCATAGGGCTTGGGGGGTCAGTAAATGTATAGACTGTATATATATATAAATTAAAACATTTAATTTAGCAAGGAAGCATTAAATTGATCAAGGTGACATTTACAAATAAGTACATTTATAATGTAAAAAAATCTATTTGAAATACCTGTTTTCAACATTATTATTATTAATAATAATAATAATAATAATAAATGTTTATTGAGCACCAATTCAGCATATTAGAATGATTTCTGAAGGATCATGTGACACTGAAGACTGAAATAATGGCCGTTTAAAATTCAACTTTGCCAGTACAGAAATAAATTATATTTTAATATATATCAAAATAGAGTACAGTTATTTTAAATTGAAATAATATTTCACACAGACTTTTTACACCGTATTTTCCTTAAGAGAGTGTATGTATAAATTAGTATGGAAGCATAGCATGAAATCAAACATAAACAATAGAGATATTATTAAGCAGGTGCATGTATTTTTTATTTTATTAAAAATACATTTAAATACATTTTATTTTACATAATTCATTTTAAATTTATTTTAAATAATTATTAATATAGCCTAGATATTTTAATATAATACAATTTTCTTAATTTTATTTTTATTTGAATGATTATTTATTTATGCAGCTAAAGTCATAACTCTCACTCTCAGTATCCAACACAAGAACCCTGTTACTGTCTCAGAAACTGTCCAAACTACATTTTTTTTTCATTTTTGAGTTATGACACATTTCTTATTGGCTTTACTTCTCTGGCTCAATTTTCCTCTCGGGCAAGAATTATGTTTGTGCAGGCATTTGGAGGAAACCAGAACTAACTAATCATAAGCTTGTGGTGTTTAAGATCACACATCAGAACGGCTTACCGCTAACCAAGGCGTTCCTCAGGTGAGCGGCCATCAGCAGATGTTCTTCATAAGTGTGCTGGGGAGCTTGATTACAAACTCTTTTATTAGGTTTGATCAGTGTGTGTGTGGAAGATTAGGGCCAGGGAGACAGGTCTTTACCCTCCAGTGATCTCTGGAATAATGAGGATATGTTACCGTGGTGATTCTCAGAGAAGCCTCTATCAGTGTGAAGAACCATTTAAAATCAGTTGCTTTGTTTTTCTTTCACCATCACTGCCTTCCTGTTCCTAGTTTTTAAATGTACAAGAACTGTGTGGAAGTGTGGAAACAATGTGGAACAGACTCAGTACCTGTAATGAATGACACAAGTTACTGCAAGCTAGTTTTGTATGTTTTAATCTGTCGAGTGTTTCGTAATGCAGTTGTTGATAAAAGGAAAGAAACGGTAAAAAAAAGTACTGTATATGAGTGGAAAAAGTAATTGGTTGGATTTGAGTAGAATCTGTCCATGACCATGATCTAAAGGCAGTACACCACAAAAACAGATGACTAGCTATAGTAGACATGCCTTTCAGAGCAGCATTAACCAAGCTGAGACCTTGCCTGATCCTTTTCTGACTGGTTAAATAGCTATTAATGGAATGAGCTGTATGAGTTAATTACACACAATAACAGATTTGAATGATGCTGTATTCAAGTGATGAACTTCCAACATCGCTTAAAGGGGATCAACTAGCTAGATTTTTATGAACTATTGTATGTAAATAAATAAATACAAATATTAAATACTGTCTTTAAAAAAAAAAAAGTAAAGTGATATAATTTGACAGTGATGAACTGATAGTTGAGAGCATGTAAAGCAAAGTGTGCCATTCTCAAAACGAATTACACAATAAACTCTTAATATAGGTCTAGACAACACACAATTAGAGTAATTAAGAACTTACAAAAATACTTTTTTAGAGCCAATTGGTTATCACGGTTAGTGAATGAGACCCGATATTCTGTGTTCAAATTAATATTATTTCATATGTTACTAATATGTGTTTTAATGCAATTTAAAATGTTTTTTTAATTGTTATTTTAATACATTATAAAATTTTAATTCATTCCTTTACTCCTGATTTCAAGAAAATAATTATTCAAGAAGCGTGTATATCACAGGAATAAATTACATTTAAAAATATATTCAGATAGAGTTATTTTAAATAGTAAAAATATATATAAAAAAAATATTACTGCTTTTGCTGTATTTTGGATCAAATAAATGCAGGATTGGTGAGCAGAACAGAATTATTTAAAAACAAAAAAATTTATTGTTCAAAAACTTTGGAGTGGTAGTATATATACTGTGTGTGTGTGTATATATATGTATCATTATTATTTTATGAATATAAAGTTGAAAAGAACTTAATTTATTTGAAATATAACTCTTTTACAACAATGTACAAGACTTTACTGTCACTTTTTATAATTTCAATGCATCCTTTCTAAATAAAAGTATCAAAAAATCAGTCTGGTTGCTTTACAAGGTCAAATTAAAGTGTTTTTTTATTGATTTGCACTTAACTTTTAATTTCAGAAAGGAACAGTAACTTTTCCAGCAAGTTTGTCATGTTTTGAAAGGCGACTCGGCAGTTCATTAACACTCTTTATATGTCTTATCAGCATTAAACACTCTTATACCATAGAATAAGGTTTCCATTTATACCTGGCTCTTCTAGTTCAGTGTATACTGTGTGTGCAGGGCAGGTGTGTAGTATTTGTGTTGAAGCGCCGTATCTCATGTCAGCTTTGTGTACATTTTTATGTGTATGTTTAAATGTGTGTATGTTGATAGATCAGCAGAGAGCTCCGGCATGTAAACTAATGTGTGGTTTGAGTTGCTGAATTAAGGAGATGCTGTGACGTGCATGTAACAGTGCTGATGTGTGATTAGCACAGAATACATGGTGTGCAGACTCTTTTATTGGAAAAACGTTTTACTACAGCAGTTACAGAGCACCCTACTGAGGGCTCACTGCCGTCACAGCATGATACTGTCTCTGAGTGTTTGTGTATGTGGTTATGGGAAGGGGAAATGGAAGAATTTATTGAAAATGATTTTTTATTCTTTAAGAATGGACAAATAAATCTATCTTTTGCTCTCTGTCTCTCTCTCTCTCAGGTGGTCGAGTTGGTTCAGTTCAGTCTGATGCCAGCAGCAGTCCCACAGAGCATGGTCATATGGGTCAATCTCACCCCACGTACCCTGTTGGACCACAGGTGAGAACACGCATCTTTTCCACTTAAACAATTTCATGAACATGAAATGGCATTCACAGCCCATTTGAAATGTGCCCATATTTCTGAGTGAAAAATTAGTGTAGGGCTTAAAAGTGAGTGTTACAGACTAGAATGGAACCAGACGGAGTGTAAGTTTACAAAACTTGGCTAGCATTAGAGTTACTCTCCAACACTGACCTGCCCAACTAACTAAAACTAGCATTGCTCCTTAATGGGTTTTTTTCAGTTGCGTAGCAGTAGCTCAGCTGTTTTCAGAATAATAGCTAGTGTAGTTACAGTCTACTTTTTACAAAATCAGAAAGAACTTTGTTTGTTTACACACACAAGGAATTTGTCTTGGTAACAGGAGCTTTAAGTGCAGAAAAAAGTACACACATAGTGCAGGCGTACATTAAAATTAAGGTATTAAAATGAAATATAACACTACTAATAAAGAGATCAGATATAGAAAAGATACAGAATAAACAATAACATTGAAATGGTATATGGCGATAGAAATATAGAGAAAAAATATACAAGACAGACAGACAAAAGGTAGCATAAGTAGTGTGACAAAACATGAAATAAATGGGTCGACCGATATATATCACCAAAGCCAATATATTGGCTAATATTTGTCATTTTTTAAATTACCGCTCAACCCAATAAGTGTCAAAAGTTGGACTTCAATTTTGGCTGCACTGAACTTTTATTTTGACAGTACCGAGAATGCATTGCAGTGCCTGAGCACAGACACACAAGAGCTCCCATATTCTGTTTTCATTAGTTTACTGTCTTTGATTAATAAATTATTAGGCAGAACAGTTAAACAAAGACAGTAAGCATTGAGCATTTGCCTTTCTAGTAATAGAAAGACAAATGGCAGATTTGTGAATCAGAATCCAACTAATTAATTCAAAGGAATGATTTGTTCACAAATCAGACGTTAATCTTTTTCTGATGAACATGCCAAGTAGTGTTCTACATATCTACGGATTCTAAAAACATGAAAATATATGGTGCATGAGTCAAAGACTGCTTTTATGTTGCTTTAGTGTCTTGAAAATACTTGAACATCTCATTCCCATTAATGAAAACTCTTAAGAAAAAACAGTATACAGAATAAAGTAAGTTCTACATGTTTGGAATGACATGACGGTGGTTTGGGGTGAACTGTTCTTTTTCAAAAAGTAATAAAAGATCAATTTTGATGACTTTGCCATTACTTTAAGGAGCATACCATCCAACTCAACACCTAACCAATGCCCCAGTAAAACAAACACACACATGCACATACGTTTAGAAAATCAACTGTAGTCTTTTTTTAGGATGTGTAGAACAAACAAGCTCTTTCAAGAGATGGAGAATGATCATTGTCTGTTGCCATATTCAGCTCAACATGCCGCAGCGATGTCCAAGCCCTTGTCTTCTCATTCCCTTGAGCTCTGCCTTAATAGATGAACCCTGTCAGGACAGTCCCACAGAAACAAACACTTTTCAGCCACACTGCTCTCTCCCTGTGCCATGGCCAATTCCCTTGTTTCTGGATCAATATGTTTTGATGGATTCTCACTCTAGAGACGGATATTGTGTGCACTGCCATTACGGAACTGGATCAGTAAGAGGGCAGTTAGCCCTACATGGGTCCGATTCTTTCTTGTGCCTTTGGCTTCATTCGCGCACACTGTTATCAGTCTGATTACGAGTAATCTTTCAGCGTTTCCTCCACTGGGCCGCTCCCTCCGTTCTTCTTATTAGAAAGAGAAATGGGATGGGTAGGTTTAATCAAAGGGTAATTTAATCCCAAAAGCCAGATCAAGAAGGTATAGAGTGTTGCTTATTGGCCAAAGGGTCTTGGGGACACATATGTTCAGTATTGATTCTGTTAAAATTAGTTTTTTAAAATGATTTGTTTCTTCCAATCATGCCTTAGATGCTTGACTATTAACACGCTTGTCTTGTTGTGCAAAATTCATCAAACTGACTTGCTCTACCTCTGAAATTACTTCTTTTGAGCCACATTTCATGATTCATTTGAACCCTGATGGATAAGATCAAGTCCCATTTTCTGAATTAAAACCTAGTTTAACTCAGAAATATCTCATCATACCATTTTAGGGGGCAGATTTACTAACAGCTAGCACCCGCGCAAACCATATTTTGGCGTTAAAATTGTACTGTCGGGAATGGGATATACTAAAGACGCGCAAGGAAGAATTAGCACTGAAAAGGCATGGACACAGTTATTTTTGCGCCTGACCTAATTGAATATGCATTTGTAAGAGGTTTCCTTTCAGATGCAAAATTTATGGGAGGAGAGTATTCAAATGAATTTACTAACGTTTGCGCTCGTCAAATTGCTGGTATTTGCGCCATTATTTTAACGCCCAAAAAAGCATGTCTTAAACTATTTTGCACCTGTGTCATAAGGAGATCACCCACATGATAAGCATCAGCTCTGCTTATTTGCGACTATGCTAATTTGCACTGCTCTTGGTATATTGCGTTGGTCGATATGTAAATGAGATGTTGCGCCTGTTTTCTTTAATTTGCGTGTTGTCAGTAAATCACCCGCAGAAATTTCCACGGCCATCGGCGCTGTTTTGGAATTGCTGTCTCGCTCTAATTTGCCCTGTTTAGTAAATCTGACCCTACATGCTTTTAAAATGGCCATTTTATCATTTTAAAAACTAATTTAATAATTAAAAATAATTGCATTTCGCAGACTGTTTTTCCATGGTATTGTTTGCAGTATCTTGAAGTACCATTTAAAATATGGTATATTAATACAGTAATCATTCTGTATGATTTTATATTTCAATGTTATCATCATATTGAAGTCATCATCTGACACTATCAATATGATTCCAGCTGGATACTTTATTTTGCAAAAGTTACCTTTTTCTCCATATTAAAAGTAGTTTGACAGCTGAATTTGAGTGTATATATATTTCAGAAACAGTCTTGCAAACTATAAGTGCATTTATGACAAATATGCCACAATATCTTTGAAAACTGGTGTATGTAAATGGACATTTAGGAACAGTGAGGTGGTATCCCAAAACATCCCAAGGGTATTTTGAGTGAGGAGTTGTTCAGCCATTTTAAAGTGTGTTTTGATCCTGGGGGATCCCATTTCACAGACACGCTGGGGTTCAGATCAGTTTGTCAGCTGCCTTGTCGCTTAGCGAGAGGGCTGATGGGAAAACGGTGTGAGCTATTAGTGAATCTAACAGGAAAAAGAAAGAGAGAAGAACCGGTTTTCATGCGGAGTCAAGGAGTATATTGCCCTCCCATGATTCCTGACATAGACATTCTGCTGGACACAGCATAGTAGTTTGTTCTCCCTGGCAAAGCCCATGAAAATTATGACAATTGAAGTTGTGTTTTATCACAGTTAGATTCCTTGTATATAGGTGTTTTTGTGGATGCATTGTGGATGTCAGTTTTCATCTTGTTCACACAGGTGTCTGAGCAGTAACCACAGGTGTGATTCACATCACATCGCATTAACTATGAACATGTCCCACTAATGTTTGATGACAGAAAGTCTTCAAATACTATTTAAACAGTATCTTATAATTTTACTGTGATGTAACTTTTTAAAATGTAATAATTTAATAAAATTTGTTAATGTATTAATTAATATTGGATAAAATAATAAAAGATTTATATCAAGGAGCTATTAATCTGTTCAGTGGGTGCAGTCTTTTGCTTTTTCTCCTCTAAAATGTATGTTTTGTGGTATTCACATGACCTGCTTAAAATTAGGAAAATAATATAAAATTCGGAAACTTTTTTTTGTGAGCTAAAATGTAAACATGACTAATTTTATTACCGATTACTGAAAAATATAGAAACTGTAAAACTAAAACTAAACTAAACTAAAAAAAAAAAAAAAAAAAAAATTAAGTTTTGGGGGGCTTGTTTTTTACCAAGTTTCTAAATGACTGAAAAAGTACTTTCTGCCAAAAATTAACAAACATGTCTTCATATTAAATGAAGAACTTTTAATACTCATGTTAACGTGCACCATTCCAAATAGACATGTCTGTATTTTATAAAGTTTCTCTTAAGCTTTCAGTTATTCATCTGGTTTTAGTCATCTTCAGACTGATGGAGGCTCTTCAGCTCAGTTGTTTAGGTCAAGTGCCCTTTTAATAATTTCCTCAGTTCAGTGAGTGGAGTTCAGAATGGGCCATTAGGAGTTGGTTGATTTGTACGAAAATGCCAGTGCTACAGACAAATTTTTTTTTTTTTAAAGAATTCAAACAAAAGCACAATAAAGTAGCTGCATTTTTAAGTGGCATTTTTAAGTTGCCTACAGTCCTGAAATAAATGTAAAATGTCGGTTTTAGAGTGTTCTTAATTTAATCCTTTATTTATAGATTGAAGAACTATCTACATGTTCCATAAATATGTCATCGTCCTATATTTGCTCATACATCGGTTTGTCAAAGTTATAACAAAGCCTGAATTAATACTTTTATTCAGAAAAAAATGCAATAGATTGACAAAAGTGAGAGTTAAAACACTTATAATTGTCACGGGACGTAGTTGTAGCAATAGCGCATGATGAAGGAGTAAATGTAAATAGTCTTTAAAGGGGTGGTTCAGTGTTTTTTTTTTTTCTAGGCTTGATTGTGTTTATCAGGTGTGGTCTAACATGTGTTAATGCGTCGTTTTTTTAAAAAACGCATTATTTTTCACATAATTTACCTTTATTCCACACCGCTCTGTCCCTTCTCTGAGAAACGCGCTGATCAATTTACTGCTTTTATGAAGCCCCTCCCTCAGAAATAGGCGATGGGATCTGTTTGGTTAGCTAGCCCAGTGTGTTGTGATTGGCTAAACCGCCTCTAGTGTGCGTCTAAACGTCCCGCCCCTCACCTCAGCGGCATGTGCTCCGGCTGTATTGTAAACAAAGGCGTCCTTAATATCGCTTATCAGTTTGAGCCCAATTGAGAAGCAGAGGATGTTATTGAAGAGGATTGTGCAGA